ATCTTATCCCAGTTTAGGAGGCATAGAAGAACTCGTAGACCAACTTTTGCCAATTTACACTCGATATACAGCGCGATTGACAATTAACCATCAATGTCATCTGTGGTGGTGAGTAATTTTATCCTCACACTCGACGATGACGATCTTCTGTACCCCACAAATTGGTCACAACTTCCCATTATTTCACCGAAGTGAGAGGGCGAAAGCGGATGCCCGGCGCTCTTCACCGGGTTGACTGTCCGTTGGATGACAGTCTAGGGGAGATGGCTAAACCCTGATTCCAAACCTCCAACGACTGGCGTATGAAGCTCACTGGAGCTCACCGGCAGACGTATGGACAAAGGGCTTGTTGGATGTCCTGGATGTCTGGCCCCATTCAAAAAGGCGTATGAACCGGACTCCGGTCACCGGTTGGCTGCCAATGGATAGTGGACTCCCTACTCCACTCCTACTGCCTTGTAGGTCACACTTGGTTGTGTAAAGGCTAGAGCTGCACTCTCAAACAAAAGGCCGAGCGATGCTGGGGACATCAGTCGTACCAAAATTCCCATGAAACTTCATGAACTCTCTTGTTCATGAAGTCGGCTCATCCTCCCGTAGGAGATAGCCGAAGTAAAGTAAGTAATTAGAACCCGTGTAATGCCTACCTATCTGAATAGTGTCAATCGCTATTGATTTTTTATTACTGATATCTAAATCACATGTTGAATGGCAGGGGGTGGAGGAGTGGATTTGATTGGTGGTCACAGGATTGATCATGAGTTGATACCAGTTAAATAACCATTCGGAAATAAGTAGGGAGTACTGAACAACCGTTTCATGCTAGTTTGGAACCCATGACCATTATGCACCTATTTCCAGGGTTCGAACACGAGATTTCCAGTTATGAGGCGGATACACAGATCATTCACAGCCACTGCGACACATGAATTCCATCTTCTAATAATTTGTGACTTTTGTTAGCGCGACTGGTATCAGCCACAGTCCACAGGAAACTGTGGTAGGAATTTCACCAGCTCAAACTGTGCACATTGAAAATTGTTAATTTCGATATTCACAGTTGATTACAGCACACAAGAGTACTGCATTCCCGTGCATTCAAAATGAGACTGTAATCACTTGAGAGCGGAGAAATACGTCGTTAACTAATTATGTATGCAACCAGATAATAACGTCGATGATGAAAGGAATAGACATCAAAAGCTTTTATTATTATTACTATTATTAATATTGGTTCACTAATTAGCATACAATAAAACATATGGATTAACAAAGGGATAGATATATATGCATATATATGCATCTAAGGTGAATGACGTGTAAGCTTTCTTTCTGAGTGTGAAAAAAAGAGGTAATTCTTTCCTAAAATAGGACTTTAATTTTTCCTGAAAACGATCAAATTCAACAGGATTTCAGGGGTACAAAACTCAGCCTCTAATGATACATATTACTACTGTGATTGTTGCCTTTGGTTCCAAGTAGAACATACGCCTTCACCAGAACGTCTCTATTTTGTCCTGTCCTCTATTCTGCAATCGATTTCAGATGGTCCATCGATTGTCCAAAGGCTCTTACCTCCTCCTCACAGTATCTTCTCCACCCTCGGACACACCCCCAACCCGTCATTGCTCCCATCCGTGTTCTACTCGGGCAATGCTCCCTTGTGAGAGATATCACCCGACGTCCTCCTCAGTGTGTCCGATACATTTACATTTTGTTCGACAAATTTGTTAAGCGATTGGTTGTTGATTGGTCTGTCCCCGAAATTCATTTTAACCAATTCTTTTCGACAGCCATTCGCACTTTAAAATTTGAGCTAGCAAACGGAGACGTTAATCAGAGTCTGCAGGTACTTGTTAGAAATGCTTTCCGTGACACACTTGCCAAGTTTCTGGTAAATATAGAATAACAGACTGACTCAACATTTGTATTGAAAGTCGTCATCTTGTTGTTCACACTGAGTTCATCATCAACAGTAGATTTCCAAACAGATTTTTAGAGTGATGAAGGTATTGCCATGATAGCTACTCCTTCAGTGTGCTCCTAGTTGTTGTCTGACTAACCGGAGTAGATGACTAACGCTCCGGTTCAGATTCCACTCAAGCAATGGTCTGGTTAGTGTTTAATATCACCCGATTGTGTATCCCATTCACTTCCATTTCTATCAATATATTTGTGAATGGAAGGACCTCGATTAGTTCGTTTTCAGAGTTTCTTCTGTCTATTTCTTTCTGACCAGCTGGCCATCTGATCTTCAGAATGGAGCCAGCTACAGAGGCAGTAGAGGGAGTTGATAAAAATCTCTAATATAGTCTCATCTACCTAAATTGGGTCTATATTGCAATCTGGACATTTAGATAGAGAAACAAAGTGAAATGATTCACAATCTCCCTCGTCAACAGTATTGTATTCATCCTGTTCATTTGGGTCATAAATTCGAGTCCCCGAATGTCTCCTGTCCGACAAAACCTTCAATACAAAGCTGCATTCACCAACAATCAACACAGATATATCCATATATACCCATGACAGTATATGTAAAGAGAGATAATAAACTAAACAATCTATATAATGGAAGTGTAGTATAAGAAAGCCAAACATAACAGCACAACAGTAATAATCTTCACTGCAGGGGTTTTCACTGTCGTCTTAATTTCAGTACACAGAAATCAACTATCGTATTCAAAGCACAAAATTATTCATCAGAAACACCTGTAGTCCAGTTTCATATGTCATTGAATAGTAATCACAATAAAAAGAGGCGAAAGAAGGAGAGAAATTATCAGGTGATTACTACAGAGCAGAAAATTCTGATGTAAAAGCTCTGAGAGAAGGATGTAGCCATCAGATGAACAGAAACATTATTACTAAGTGTTGATTTTCCCTGGGGTGGCGGGGGAGATTTGATTGGTGGTTAAAGGCTTTATCTCGAGTAAGTTGACATCAGGTAGAGGACCATCAAGTTAGAAACCATCAAGGAGGCAGTACTGGACTTTTCAGAAGTACGCACTCACCATAGGGGTTCGAGCTAAGGAACTTCGGGTTACAAGGCTAGCTGTTAGAACATTTGGCCACTGATACCCGACTCACTATCCAGCCCATGAATTCCAACTTATGCCAATTTACGATGTCTGTGGATAGCTCAACCGCCAGCGAGTAAGTGTCCCCTCTCTCTCTGACTTGGTCGACTCCGTTGGGTACAACTTCTCACTAGAACTCCAGATGACTTCTTGCACAAAGCCAGGGGGGCACCAAGTTATCTAAGAGATGACCAGTTACTCACCTATGACAACGACGTGCGGTTGGGCTATATACATATATTACGAATTGGCAGAAGTTGTAATTCATGTACAGTCTGCTGGATAACGTTGCAGTAGCAGAACACTATTCCTAACTCAAGCGAAATCAATTATTCAATAGGTAAATAATGGTCAGGAAAAACAGTTTGAAGTCTTACTCAGTAAGTCGATTTAACTCACTACTTCAGGAAGTTGAAGCAGCTCAAAAACGAAAAAAGAGACAGAAACTGAACAGGAGTGATAGAGAAGACCATCAAAGTTAAACGGGATATATAATTGAATAAAGTTTAAAAGAAAATGATTAAATTTTTAAATGTGATTGATTTCAGATTATATTAACGAAAATTTTCAGTTATTGGTTTACGATTACTTCAATTATTTTAACCAGATAGTAGACTCTAAGCCAGTAGTTCCATATTAGATGTCAGAATCAGTCAGAACTCTGAAATGGCAAGGTAGACCTTCATCATTCGGAAATCAGTTTGGGAATCTACTGAAGCTCTCAGCATAAACAACAAAATTCAGACTGTCAACACTAATGTTAAGTCAGTCAGCCTTTCTATATATGAATCAGGAGCTTAATGTCCACCTCATGAAAAACATCTCGAACAGGCTGCAATTTTTCACCAACAGCTACCTGCTTCTCTGGCTCCATACTGAAAATTAAATGGACTGCCAAAAAAAATGGGCATGTACTGATGAAGAGTCCCAAATAAGACAGGACCAAACAACTGGCTGTCCAGTAGTCCCTGTTGGTCTCCCAAATAAAATTCCTGTGAAACAACATTTGATAATTAATCTGATACTCACTAGCAACTGGCTGTTTATAGAAGAAGTTATGTGAAGTTCTAGTGAGAAGTCATTACCACCGGCAGGTTTCACCAAATCAGTTACTTGCCTCTGGCACTGACCTCTGATTGCGCTCAAGATATATCGCGAAACCTAAAATCATTCATAGAAGCATTGAAGGCCAGAGAGCACACAAACCATCATGTAATCATACTCTTGAATCAAAATTAGGAATGTCCAACTGTGTGTAATGTGACCATTGTGGACGGTATACATCAAATATATGTGTAAAACTTGGGCACTGTGGTATTAAGTAATTCCATATTAGTTTGATTATTAAATGTATCACACAGTGAAACAGTATTGTATACTGGATGACGTTTCGAACACAATTTATTGTTCATAATCATATCAATATCGTTGGTTGGACATCCATCCACACACGTGACATCTAATTGGACCTCACTGGTTACTTCTCACTAGAACTCAGGAAATTCCAACCTGTAGTAAGTCACTAGCGAGCATCAGATTAATTTTCTATAGTTTGGTTTGTAATTGTTAGTTATACCAAATTCCATATAAAAATTCCTTTAACCAAGTCTCTCGTCTTCTTCCGTTACAAATGGTGTCGCTGCTTCCAGACAATGTAGACTCCATAGGCGGTTGATTTCGAGGAAAGAGACTTCAGGAGCCGATGGACACCGTCTATTATACTACTGATAAATCGTATCAGTGGCACATGTCACACAACTGCTTTGTATTTAAAATAAACACGTCCCATCATTGTCTTTACTATGGCCGTGAAAAGAAAAATTGATTACATAATTCTAAGATTAAACTAATTGTCTCTTTTAATCTTATTTTAAACCCCACTCTTAACTTTTTTATTTGTTTTATTCTTCTAATTTTTAGATCCATTATTGAAATCAGCTATACAAACAGATTATGGTTATCTATCCAGGGTGTCGTCACCATTCACTATATTATTTCCCTATCAAGCAAGAAAATCACGTAATAATTATGATACATCAACATTAGGGAAACAGGTAAGTGATTCATGGTTTTTGTCGTTACTGTTCTTGTTGTTTATTGTGAGATGTTTTCATTGCCTAGATAAAGCAGAGAACAATGGGCTTCAATAGCACCGAATCTCCCCTTCACAGCTGTCCCTATTAATTATAAGCTATCATCTCATCTTTACATGGTCCGCTCTATATCACCCTTCGGACCAATGCCTACTTCGTAGTTTGCTTCTCATTCCCTGTTCCATTCGAATGATGATCACCACCTGGCTGGTGTGCGATGTCAGGATTCGATGCCGTCTCCTCCGTTGCGTGTATCCGACCAATCGCTATTTCCTTTATGATATTTATTGAGCAATTGATTCTCGGTTGGTTAGTTCAGAGAGTTGCTTGTTTCTAATTCTGTCTGACCAGTCATCCAGCCCGCCGACCGTCCGACCGGTCATCTGATCTTCATTATAGAACCAGAAAAGTGCGTAAAAATGAATAAAAGTGGCATTCCATGACCCATAAACTCAATTAGAAACAAGCTTTGTCGGTTGAAAGTGTATCAGTGATTTTTAGCCCACTGAGAATTGAAATCAAAGCGTAAAAGCATTTACTATTCTTAAAATTCATTATCATCGTCACCAGGAAGATTTTATCGCTTCCAAACACATCGTATCACTCATTCTTATTTATTGTTAAAATAATAACAATTTTTATAGATTTTGCAGATTGATTACTACTCATCTACTCATCTTTTCTTTCGGCTTCCTTTTTACATGCCGCGTATCACTGCATTTTCTTCAAACAGCCAACATACCACTTGTGTGTTTTTGTAAATTCTCTTAATGTGGTGAAAACAATATTTCATGAAAATAGATGTAATTGTAACCAATAGTTACATGGGTTGTCTATTTGAGTTGACATTTTGACGATTTCAAGATAGTTTCCCCTTAAATGAGCTTGACATTTCCTCCACTAAAGTGGCTAAAGGATGCTTATTTGCAAATATTTATTATACTACTGATAGATTAGAATGAAATGAGTAGTAGTAGTTGTTGTTGTTGTATGCTACACAACTCATATCAACCCGATAAAGGTGATCTCAACACTACATGACGGCTGTTTTGCTCCTCATCAGCGATGTACCTGGTGTGACTTTAGCTCAAACAACCCAGTGTCTCCGCTGGCTAGATCATTTCTCTCATGAGTTCAGATGTCTGCCGGCTGACAACATGTATTACCCTCCACAAGATGACGTAGTCATTTTTTGACAGAGTAGCCCTGGAAAGACTGACGGTGAGTAATAAAGAAGAGAAGGCAAGATTCAAGAGTTAACAAAGTAACGTAAAAGTAGAGAGAAGTTGAATGAGATACCTGATTGTGTTAACTTCTTAATGTAGAAGTTGGTTAGACAGAAAATTTTTGTGGAAATTTATAAGATTTGAGATGACCAAAAGAGATCAGAAGATGAAGCTATCCCAAGATATTTGGAGCTTGAATTTGTATCCATCTCTGTGCCTTCTATACTACAAGCAACATCATTTGAACGAACAAATCGGTGTTGATCACATTTTTGCTTGAAGATGAAGTTAATCTCGTTGACTTAGAATTTGGGGATGATATAATCCTTCTAGGTGAAGCTGCTGACAAAATTCAGTGTCTTCTCAACACCTTGAGCTTGAGCAGCAATCTTCGAATGTCTGGCATAAGATTCACTCCCATTAGATGTTAGATTTTGCTATAGGACTAGACTATATTGACTCGTCGCTTAAAGACAGACAGGAGTGAAGTAATGACTGAACATGTTGACCACTTCACTAATTTGAGGAGTTACGTCAGCCAGCTCCAGCGGGTTGATCGCTGACGAAATCTCAGCACGGATACAGAAGGCTCATTTGGTGCATACGCCAATTTACGCTAATCTCTAGAGTAAACGACCAAACGATGTGTGTACTGCTCAGCAGTTTGCTTTGTCTCTCTTGTGATAGCTGTGAGTGAGAGATGTCTTTGATCATAGGTGTCTGCATTCTATATCCCCTGAGTGTTAGGTAGTATAATAAGATGAACATTATAAGGTTAGGCGTCGAGTGCCCCATACCAGCGAAACATTCGTCCCCTGTGTTGTGCAGATCACCTCGATCTGGCTGGCTGACTAGATGGCAGGCAAGCCCTGCTGGTTGATATAAATGGTGTGGTATACAACTACTACTCATCTCAAACAATCAGTAGTATGTAGATAGTTTTATGCAAATTTGTTGTTGATAATCTGCTCGTCTCTCTTCATATCGTGTGGTTGTCTGTTGGATTATTCAGATTGTAAGTTTTTCTAACGATCTGAATGAATTTCAATGTAGATACCGTCAAGAATTCATACATCAAGTGGAGAATCATTGAAAGACACCAAGGAGTACTGGAGAGCTGCTTTTCCGTTGTAGTTTAGGACTCACCACTTCATATGACCCATATGAGAATGGTCTATGAGCTCGCTTTGTGACCAGAAAGTCTTGAGTTCGAAACCTCAGTGGATGGCTGTCTACTGATGAAAAGCCTCGAACCGGGACGAAACAACTAGGTATCCAGCACTTCCTGATACTTTTCCAATGGTTCTCTAGCTGATATCAACAACATATGGTGAAATCTGTAACTTATCAATAAAATACACCTAGAAACCAACACTTCACGCGATTCACATGTTATTTGAATGATCTTCACCTCTTTTATAATGATAATAATAATAATTATTGTTCCCTTGGGTTCCTAATGGAACATTGGGCTTCAACTGCAAATCTCCACTTGCTTCTGTCTTCCTTTTGATGTACTTTTTACCTGCATCCATGCTAGTTAGTCCATACTGTTTCAACGCCTCTTCACACGATCTCCTCCATGTCACCCTTACACCGACGTCCTACTCGCCACTTCCCCTTAGGGTTGCACTCGAGTAATGGCTTGTCGCGCTATTTCACCAACCGGTCTCTTCAGCGAGTGTCCAATCCATCTCCACTTTCTCCTGCATATTTGTTGGGCGATCGGTTCTTGTATAATAATAATAATAATAATATACTTTATTCCGAAAACAGTACTTAGAATACAGAATGGAATTCTTAGCATTTGTCACAATATTGCATCTGATTTACTTAACATACAAATAAAATTAAAAATTAACCAGAGGAATTTGTCCACGTTTACGATATAAAGTCAAAAATATTCGGAGCACGAATTGAGAGTAATAAATATAATAATAATAATGACAGTGAGTTTGTTTCAAACAGTATTGGCGATTCAGTTTGGAAATTTTAGCATGTTACTATAGAGTATTGAATCTAATGTTCTGTTGATGTAGTATAGTGATGGGAAGTACAAAATTAACAGTTATAACACAGCTTAAATGATGTTCACACTTATGAAAAATAAATAAATAAAAACAAAAAAATTGAAAGGATTATAAATATAAGAAATACAATAACAATATAGGTTGATGGTGCAAGGGTGAAGGAAATGGTTTATTTAGTAGTGCAAAGAAGCTTAGTTAGTTAGTTCATGCGTGACACTATTTTCATCACATAAAATACGTGCCGCCAAATATGGTATCGTGGAATTTTCGCACTTAGACGTACGTGCATAAAGTCTTCTGAAAAGACTTCTTGTTTTACCTGAGAAGACACAACGCTGGAGCTGCGGGTAGAGTGAATGCTCAGAGTCTGACAAAATTCCTTTTGCAAATTTGTTGCATGACATAAAGTGCCTGTCAGTGACAATGTCAACGATATAGCCCAAAGGGATACCACTCGCCTTACCAACAGACAGTCTTCAGAGTTCAGCCATGTATGACATAGTCTTTTTTAAACAATCGAGGAGAGAATATGCAGGGGTGAACAGTAAAGAAGAATAGTTAAGATAAGCGAGTTGACAAACTGTAAGAGGAGGAGGGGTTGAGTTATGCCTTGAGTGTCTTAACTTCTTAACGTAAAACGTCAGACGAAATATTCTTTTAGAAATCTCTCAGACATGGGAAGACCAGTATAGGTCAGAAAGAAGAATTAATCTAAGATACTGAACTTCAGACTTGATTTCTATATCACTGTCATCAATCTTGCAACGGTTATAGAATCAACAGCTTCATTTAACTTTCTTTTACATTGGAAACTGAAATTAACAGTCTGACATTTGTGATGGATTTAGTTTAAGGCCGTTACACGAAGACCATTTGCTAATTCCTGATAGAAAGCTATTCATCTTAGCACAGTCTAGCTGGAGTTAACAGAAGTTGAAATAGTTAGATCATCGGCATACTTAACAAAGTTCATTTCATCCTCAGAATGAGGCAAGTCATCCAAGAAGAAAGAAAACAGAAAAGGAGAAAGGTCAACCTCTTGAGGAACAGCAGCCTCAGTAAGCAACGAACTGGATGACTTTCCCCGACTGACATACAGTGTACTGTTTTCTTTCTAAGAAATAAGAATTCAACCATTTGACAACCCAACAGTCAGTTTGAGTTTCACCAAGCTTGTTTAACAAGCTTGTCCCTAGGTACTGAGTCGAAAGCAGATGTGTGTAATCTAGGAAGGCGCAGCGAACAAATGCTATGATACAAGACTGCAACTGCATCTAAAGTACTTCTACGGTGTTTATAAGCGAATTGTTTGGCACCGTTAAAGACTTTAAGTTGAAGGTTGAAAATTAATTAAGAGTAACTTTTCCATAATTTTTAGAAAAGAGGAGAGGTTACTATTTAGACCTACATGTTCCAGTTGACGACTTAGATATAGAGGTACAATTTTAATATCCTTTCAAACGGCTGGCACGACATTTCTGGAAAAAGATTCATTAAATATATCCATGAGAGGAGAACACTATTTTACTGTGTACTGTTTCACAGGAGAGAAAATGGCACATAATCTTGTTGTTTTAATTAACTAATTACAACATTCTAACAACATTAACAAATTTATATACGCATATGTAATTACTGTAGAAAAGTAAACGATAATGATAATTTAAATTATGATCTATGGCCTATGAATGAACCAGACGAGAAT